TCCCTACACTTCAGTGGATTAGAGGGGCTGTAGAAAAACCAAACCAAAACTAAGAATATATGACAAAAATTATGACTTTTCAAAAGTAAAATATTATTTTTAATATTATTGTACTATATTGTCACATGTTAAAATGTGATACTATTACTTTGTCCATATCAGCCAGTCCTTCCTCTAATCTATTGTCTGTGTCTTCTCACTTTTCCCTCTACTAGCAGTCATTGCCCATCCAATGTGATCAGTGCCTTACCTGGATAAGGTTCATTGACACAAACCACATGAAGTTCTTGTGTTTGGAGAGCTGCTTCAGGTACTGTCGAATAGTGACAGGCTTTTCTGGGTGGGTAAGTGGAGCATGGCCGACACTCAGCCTGGAACAGAAGCAAAGAAATCAAGAGAGGCCGAGAGGAAAAACAGAAACCTAATATAAAAACAACGTAAACAAAGTTATTCAGGATTTCCAAGTCTTTTAAAATCCTTACTCTTTGAGTGTCAGTGCCTCATCCTGTCTTGGATGAACTTCCTTTTGAAAACGGCGCTGTAGCAACCTGGACACCAAGAAGAAGCCCAAGCTGGAAATAGCTGCCATAGTCACGCAGAAGAGACGGAAGGAGTAGAAATCCTCTTTATCCCAGAAACAGTAGGACAGAAAAACCGATAATGAGCCCAAGGCGCTGAACACCGAGCAGTGAAAGTTGAGACGTGTGCGATCGGCGGCCGACACAGCGAGGTCTGCCAGCAGGGCGCTGTGGTGGAGGTCCACCATAGTCAGGAAGCCATCATACAGACACAGGCATAGCAGGAACTGCAGGCCTGGTCTGGCCCATGCCACCCAGAAGGCGAGGAATGACAGAGCAAAGAGAGGGCCACTTGTGGAGAGGGCCTTCAGGCGCTTCAGCACCACCTCTGGAGATGTTATCTGAGAGCCTGGCCTGGGTGGACAGACAAAACAAAATCAAACACATCTGCAGTATTTAAATAAAGATACAGGTTTTGAGATAATTAAGTAACTTCTCTGGTGCAATGACAGTGACGTTTCATACAGACAAGGCCGACAGGCCTGTCTAATAAGATCAAGCTATTTGAATATGTTTTGTTGCTGAAGATATATTAGGGGGTCATTTTAGAATGATTAGTGTTATAAAGCCACCTATGTAAACACATAATCACAATAAAATGTAATTAAACCATTAAAACACATGACAAAAGTAAAGAGGACATAGCGCACATCCCTGCAGAACAACAGAGACACACCTTATGACAATACAGAGCCGCACTTTGCTTAATCATGAAATGCAAACATAGGTGGCAGCCTTATGTTTGACAGTGCTCCCTCTGATGACGTGTTCACCTGGCCTCATGAGCATTAAAATGAGTTTATCTGAGAACATTTGCATGTGCATGGGTGGATAAATATCTTCAAGTCAGAAAAGCTGGGGGAATCTATGCAGGAACCAGTGATAGAAATCTGCAGGTTGACTGGAAATGTCCTGGCTACAGCTAGAAATGTTTTTTCCAACTACTGTTTTTATCTAAAAGAAAGAGGAAGGAGGTACTTACTGAGAAGAGCTGAGGAAGGAGTGGTCACTCAGCCAACCAAAGAGAGGGTCATTCAGGCTGTTCCATATAAGAAACACTGTCTGTGAAGTAACAGAGAAGGCAGACAAGAAGACAGTAATGCTGTATAACTTATTGGAGGGTCATTGAATACCTTTATTTTAAGGATAACAATAGATGACAGGAGATGAGGGGAAAGCAACTGAGTAAAACTGTACTCGCAAATGAGTGCTACATTTCAACTGCCATTCATATTTTAGATCACGTTTAACTGACAGAGTTATAGTCCCTGTTCTTTTCCTCACTCACTTCTCCCACCCAGAAGGAGATTTTGTCAATCTTGTAGATGGACACAAACGTCTCCACATAGTACAGCAGGAACACATTGTGGAGGATGGAGGTAAACAGGGCCAAAGAGCCATAGAGCACTGCAGTAGAGAAAATGCGTTGCCAGCAGGACCAGGCACTCCTGCCCATGCTTCTCTCTCAATCTCTGCTCAGTCTTCTCCCTGTGCCCAGCTGCAATCATCTCCCGGCCTGGCCAACCCAGGGTCACCACCTCATCATAGCCTGCAAGAACAGAGCAAGAGGATAAATTTAAGTTACTTTCAATTTGGTAGATAATGGAATATGTATTGTTTCATTGTGAAACACAAAACACAAGCTGGATATGTGAATATGTGACAGATGTTTTTAAGTTACTGAAAGTTACAGCCACATCCAACCAAGAGTATCTCAAAATAATAGTAACATTCTGGCCACTGTGTCGCCACAGAATCTGAGCAGACCAAAGCTGTTTTCATAGCAACGACAGAGTTAGTAGTCAATAGGGTGAACCACTGTTCCTTTCTCCCCTGGCCAACGCCCAGCTGTGGTGTGTGTTTGAGTAAAACTCTAATTTGCCCAGGCACTTTTATGACCACTCCACTTCACTGTGCCCATAAAAAGCTTCTCCTTTTCACAGTGAAACAACAGGAAGGACAGTTTCACAGTTACCTTTTCAGGCTAAGCATTCTGAAGATATTTTGAATATGCTACATTATATAAGACTCAACAGAAGTTATACCTATTATAAATTCTAAAAACCCGACATCAGATTTTTTTAAAGCCTAAAAACCCTGACATGAAAGGCAGACAATGTCGCCTCCATGTCACATCAGCTTGTGAATTACTGTTCTGTCACACCAACTGAGGACACAAAGTCTGCCACAGTAAACACAAATCCTGCATCAGTCTTGTTTCACTTCTCTCTTCCACAGCTTGATGTGTATTCTAGCATGCAGCACTCCTGGGAGAAGAACTCACTTAAAAACACTAACAGGTCCCTTACTTCACACCTGACTGCCACAAGTTCTTCTTACTTCACACCTGACTGCCACAAGTTCAGACTTGCCCTGATCTATAAACATCATGTCACATCTTCATCTGGGGAAAAACGATGTAATAGCTCACAATAACAGCGACTCAAAGGCAATGGGAAACGTTCCATTAGCATCAACCGCAGCTGCTAAACCACAGTTTCACATCAAGTGCCTCAACAAGATAGCAAACAACCTCCATGGAGTGTAGCAAACAGCTCTGATCCCATCAGATCGAAGCAGTGAAGCGGGATAACTCCCAGCTGGCTGCACCATATCACATCTCTATCTAAAAGAGATGTGGCCTAGTTGGTAGCAGGCAGCAGAGCAGGACAACATCTACAAATATCCCATTCATGCCCCTTTGGCCACAGAACATTCAGAGCTGCTGCCACCTGAGCAGAGGTTTCTTGGCACGGACACAGTGATGTACCTGTTGTGTTCACTCTGACAGCCAAAAGAGAAGGGGACTGAGCCGGTGACACCTGATCTCAAGACAGATTAACGCAGCTGTATAAACATGACAACAGATGGTATCCAGTTGTGACCCTTACATTTATGACATGCTAGATACATTTAGATTGTAAAATGGAGGCTGTAATCAGAACTAGGGTAACTAATGTCTTCTGAACTAAACAAGTACATTACACATTAACTTTCACACAACCAGCTGGCAGGGTTTAAATCGCCCAGGTTAACAGCGTCCTGCTAACAAGCTTGTATAGCAATGTGACATAAAACCAAGCACAAGAAGGCTACACATATTCAACAAGACGTGTCTAAAGCTGTTGGATAATACAGCAGGGGAACGAACATATTACTTCTTGAAAAAGGAGACATCAACAACAAACGTTACCACTAAGTTAGCTAATTCACAATAGCTACGTTAACAGTTGGCTAAAGTGTGACTAAAGTGGCTCGTGTTAATCCGGTAAAACTAACATCCCACATGCTGGATAGTCAGCTGTGTCTGTGCACGACAGCTGACAAAATCAACATTAGTATTTGGTGAATATTTATTCCTGAGTCGCGGGAGGTAGTTAGCTAACTAGTGCCGCTAGTGGTTAGCACTAGCACCCTAACTAGCCCTCTGGTTAATAGTAACGTCAACAGGCTGCCTATCTGGAGATAAACTTACAACTAGCTTCAAGTACGTTTATAACAGAGCAAATAAATGTTACGAACCGACAGAAGAGCCTTAACCAGACCGGATGAATGGTGTTCAGCTCAGAAGAAGCTAATTTGCTGTCTGTTCAGCAGCGGACGTGTCAGAATCACTAGCAGGCGACTGCGGAGGCAGAGACACCACGTCATGACAACTTACAGCCGGTTACTCACATCCGTGAGCACCGTAGTGTGTTTATCCAGTAGTGTACACGAAGAAACTAGGATTACAGCGCCACCCAGCGCCAATGTTGGCCACAAGTACTTTATCACAACCGGAAATATGCCTTTAATTTGTAGATTTCTATTTCTTCTCCAGCAGGGGTCAGTGACGGATCACACGAGTCGTCACATCACAAAGCTTATAGAGGGAAGCAACAAGAAACAGTAGGCTAAATATTTCACAATACTCATAATAGAAACATTCCCAACAAGCCTCGTTTCAGTTTTATTTCTATAATGACTTCATTTCTGTACTCAACATTAAAATATCACGAGGATATTAATATAAAAAAGCACAGTTTTAAGTCTCATTAAAATTAAATTTCTGTTTCAAGAGTGTCATAGTCAAGCTAGGCAACAATATCGGTGAGTTACAGGCATTAAAACACACATGTATAGTTTACCAGAATGTTTTTAATTTGTAATATTATTTTCAAATAATAGGAATAAAACGTGGAAAGAACTGTATCTTTACCAATTAAAACAATGAAAAACATAGGCTAGGCACTTAAACCACACTATACGGTCACATGCTAGTGTGTGTGTGTGTGTGGGGGGGGGGGGGGGGGGTGTTTGGTTGTGTGTGAGCACTGGGGAACTGCAGCTGCAGCAGCAGAGCAGATCGCTGTTGTGCAGCGGACAGGACGACTCCTAGGATTTTTATGGACTCCGGGGAAGAAGCAGGTGAGTAGCCCCTCGCAGCTTTTACGTTTTCTATTGTACCACTGATTTATTTCTCTGCACTTTTCCTACGCACACATTCTCTTAACATGTATGTGCACATACTGAGGTGAAGGTGGCAAATCAGTGCGGTGCACTTTTTCTGCTCGATGCTGCAGTCCAGGTCGGACAGGTGCAAATGGGTGGGTGTTTGCACGGTCTCTTTACAGCCGGTGTTCTAGCCTGTTCATGCTTAAAGCCTTATTAACTAAAGTTAAGTGTAGTGTGATCTTTGTTAGAGGAGGTATCACGATATTACTACAGCCATGAAGCCACTTGTTCTTCCGAGTTTGAACAGAAATAAATCATATAGGCCCTTATATTTGTTGTTAAGCTTTTTTTTAAGCTGCGTTCCTGTCTTAATTTGGAAATATTGGAGTAAATGTTAGTATGGTGACACAAAGTAGACTGAGAAGACAGAGGTCATCAAACTTGGCTATAAACACTTAGATTTGGTAATAGGTCCACGCTCTTTATTGGACATAAATGAGAACTGTAACTCTGGTCTGAAATGGGTTCATAAAATAAACTATACAACACCTTCTAATAAGTCAGTCTACTGGTTTAAAAGCTGTTATTGTGGCTTTATAGATCAATTATAAGCCAGTAATTACTTTTGGGTTGCCAGGTTTGGAAACATCTCTCTGGCAGTTGGGCAGTGGTGGAAGAAATAGAAGAATATATACCACAATATGAAAATACTCCATTAGAAGTATGACTCCTGAATTCATAAACCTCATTGTTAGAATGGTCTTATTGTAAAAAAAAAAAAAGTGATAGTACCTGAGCAAATATGTACAATGGACCCTATCTGAATGCTATGTTCTTATACAGTAAACAGTACATTATATTATTGGATTAATGGCATTGATGCATTAGTGTTTTAGTGTCAGTCATATACTTTCAGGTTGTTTCATTTATTATTTATATCATACAAAGTTTTGTAAATTTGTCACATATTCTATGTGTAGAAACAAAATATGCTGAAGTTATAAAGTACTTTATTTCATCTGAAATATTGGAGTAGAAGTGTAAAGTGCTATAAAATGGAAGTACTCAAGTGAACTGTGCTTTAAAACTACTGCTAAATACTTTAAGACTCTACTTTTAAATACAGTTTAAGTACTACCATCATCACTGTTGTGACATTAATCAAGTAAACTTATTAATACATTTGTCAATAAAGAGTTTCTTGGTTTCTTAAGAGGCGGAGTCACCTGTAACTGCTGTATAAAGAGTAATAAATAATTAATAAGCAGTTGTTAGTGATTAATCAAATTGTAACAGCTGTAAATGTTAAGTTGTTCATAAATAAATTTTGGTCCAGGTGCCCTGCAGCCCCTTTTTCAAAAGGTCAGAGGTCAAACAGTGCACCGGATAGGTCTTCATGATTAATTAAAAAGCTGCTTAAAAATAAACCATCACAACCTGGCAACCCAATACAAAGCACTGGTCAACAAAAAGCCAGACATCACGCATAATAAACCCTTTTAAATGGTGTCTTAGAGAGTACAGGTACAGTACAAATAACTGAAGAAGTCATGCCCCCCCCCCCCCCC